TTTTTTTTTTTTTTTTTTTTTTTTTTGAGATGGAGTTTCGCTCTTGTTACCCAGGCTGGAGTGCAATGGCGCGATCTCGGCTCACCGCAACCTCCGCCTCCTGGGTTCAGGCAATTCTCCTGCCTCAGCCTCCTGAGTAGCTGGGATTACAGGCACACGCCACCATGCCCAGCTAATTTTTTTATAATTTTAGTAGAGACGGGGTTTCACCATGTTGACCAGGATGGTCTCGATCTCTTGACCTCGTGATCCACCCACCTCGGCCTCCCAAAGTGCTGGGATTACAGGCTTGAGCCACCGCGCCCGGCCTTTCTTTTTTTTTTTTAAGAGATGGGGTCTCACTATGTTGCCTTGGCTGGTCTCAAACTCTTGGCCTCCTCAGTGTTGGGATTATAGAGGTGAGCCACTGCACTTGTACCTGTATGATTTCTTATCTATATGGTAGAGTAATTTCCATCTTTCTTTCTTTGCCTCCCTTCCTTCTTTCCTTCCTGTTTTAATGATGAGTACTGTATAGTTATATTTAGAAAAAAAAAATTAGGCTGGGCGAGATGGCTCATGCCTGTAATCCCAGCATTTTGGGAGGCTGAAGTGGGTGGATCACTTGAGGTCAGGAGTTTGAGACCAGCCTGGCCAACATGGTAAAAGCCTGTCTCTACTGAAAATACAAAAATTAGGCTGGGCAAGATGGCTTATGCCTGTAATCCCAGCATTTTGGGAGGCTGAAGTGAGTGGATCACTTGAGGTCAGGAGTTTGAGATCAGCCTGGCCAACATGGTAAAACCCTGTCTCTACTGAAAATACAAAAATTAGCTGGGCGTGGTGGCACATGCCTGTAGTCCCAGCTACTCAGGAGGCTGAGGCAGAAGAATAGCTTGAACCTGGGTGGCTGAGGTTGCAGTGAGCCAAGATCGTGTCATTGCACTCCAGCATGGGCAGGACAGAGTGAGATTCCGTCTCAAAAAAAAAAGTTTAGACATACTGCCTATAGTGATATGGCTTACATGATGTGAATGAATGTGTTTAAATAGAAATGAATATGTATGTTTAAGTTGAATATAAGACAAACTTATTAAGACTAATTAAGTCATATACATAATGAAAAGATTGAAATCCTTATTTTTCTGTTATTAGAATTCATTAAGAAGAAGTAAAATATACTCAGATCCAATATACTTGATCTGTCTGGTAGTGATATGCAAATAAGGTAATGATGTTAATATCTCGTCATTTCACTTAGTATTTTTTTATCTTTTTTTTTTTTTTTTTTCTCCCCTTGTGTAGAATCCATAAAAAAAAAAAAAAAAAAAATTAAATAGCTTTGACTTTGCACTATAGTTAGGAATGGCTGCACAAAAACTTCAGGTGGACTTACGTTGTTACTCATGTTAATTAAACATACTTTTCTAGGTAATTAATGATCCTATTCATGGCCACATTGAGCTCCACCCTCTCCTCGTCCGAATCATTGATACGCCTCAATTTCAACGTCTTCGATATATCAAACAGCTGGGAGGCGGTTATTATGTTTTTCCAGGAGCTTCACACAATCGATTTGAGCATAGTCTAGGGTAAGAAGGGAATGGGGTGGGGAACTTGCAGTTTTTAAGTATTTTCCTTGTCTCATGAGATGGTTGTCTCAGGCGAGGCATGGTGGCTCACGCCTATAATCCCAGCACTTTGGGAAGCCAAGGTGAGAGGATCACCTGAGGTCAGGAGTTCAAGACCAGCCTGGCCAGTATGGTGAAACCCCGTCTCTACTAAAAATATAAAATCAGCCAGGCATGGTGGTGCATGCCTGTAATCCCAGTTACTTGAGAAGCTGAGGCAGGAGGATCACTTGAACCCAGGAAGCAGAGGTTGTAGTGAGCTGAGATCTCACCATTGCATTCCAGCCTGGGCAACAAGAGCAAAACTCTATCTCAAAAAAAAAAAAAGAAAAGAAAAAGAAAAAAAAGGAAATAGCTGTCAAAATTTTTTTTTTTTTTTTTTTTTTGAGATGAAGTCTCGCTTTGTCACACAGGCTGGAGTGCAGTGGCACTATCTTGGCTCACTACAGCCTCCTCCTACCAGGTCCAAGCGATTCTCCTGCCTCAGCCTCCCGAGTAGCTGGGGTTACAGGCGCCTACCACCACACCCTGTTGGTTTCTGTATTTTTAGTAGAAATGGGGTTTCACCATGTTGGCCAGGCTGGTCTCTAACTCCTGACTTCAGGTGATCCACCTGCCTTGGCCTCCTGAGGTGTTGTAATTACAGGGATGAGCCACTGCGCCCAGCCCTGTGTTAATCTTTTAAAGAATAGTTTGACAAAATGATGGTAATGTCCAGATTTCATTGGTGAGAAAATTGGGGCTTTTTATTTACCTTGTTGCATTTTAATTATTTTATGTATTCTTATCAAGCACCTCAGATCTTTCCTAGAAAAATAATGAAAGTATCTATAGACAAGTCAGTTGGATTTGTGTTTAAATGTTAATTAAAAGCTAATAGGGGCTTGGTGCAGTGGCTCATGCCTATAATCTCAACACCTTTTTTTTTTTTTTTTTTTTTTTTTTTTGAGACAGAGTCTCACTCTGTCACTCAGGCTTGAGTGCAGTGGCACAATCTCGACTCACTGCAACCTCCACCTCCCAGGTTCATGGGATTTTCCTGCCTCAGCCTCCCTAGTAGCTGGGATTACAGGCACCCACCACCACGCCTGGCTAATTTTTGTATTTTTAGTAGAGACAGGGTTTCACCATGTTGGCCAGGATGATCTCTATCTCTTGACCTCAGGATCCACCCACCTCGGCCTCCCAAAGTGCTGAGATTATAGGTGTAAGCCACCACGCCCGGCCAATCCCAGCACTTTGGGAGGACAGGCAGGTGGATCACTTGAGGTCATGAGTTCAAGATCAGCCTAACCAACGTGGTAAAATACCCGTCTCTACTAAAAATACAAAAATTAGCCAGGCATAGTGGTGCATGCCTGCAATCCCAGCTGCTCGGGAGGCTGAGGCAAGAGAATGGCTTGAACCAGGGAGGCGGAGGTTGCAGTGAACTGTGATAGCACCATCGCACTCCAACCTGGGCAACAGAGTGAGACTCCGTCTCAAAAAAAAAAAAAGCTAATAGATAGAGTTGGTTACTGATATGACTAATTATATATATTTGATTATTTAATTTTCTGTATTCTCTGTGTACCCTGGTACTTAATTGCTTTTTCGAATCAGATCATTCTGTTACCTATCAGGAAATGCATAAGTTAAAAAAGCATTCATAATTTTAGAAAAGGTGGTGTTTCTATAAGCTGAGACTTGGGTCTGCTTTTCCACTATTCAGTATAGAGCCAGGAGGAAGTGGACAGGGAAGAACAGTCTTCCAGATTTTCATGAAGTACTCACAGTGTATTACTTTGTTTTTTTGTGTGGAAGCATTTTTAGTTAGCTAAAACATGTGTCTGTACTCAAATGTTCATTCATCAACAAATATTTATCCAATACTTTTTTTTTTTTTTTTTTTGAGACGGGGTTTTACTCTTTTTTCCCAGGCTGGAGTGCAATGGCGCGATCTCGGCTCACCGCAACCTCAGCCTCCTGGGTTCAGGCAATTCTCCTGCCTCAGCCTCCTGAGTAGCTGGGATTACAGGCACGCACCACCATGCCCAGCTAATTTTTTGTATTTTTAGTAGAGACGGGGTTTCACCATGTTGACCAGGATGGTCTTGATCTCTTGACCTTGTGATCCACCCGCCTCGGCCTCCCAAAGTGCTGGGATTACAGGCTTGAGCCACCGCGCCCAGCCATTTATCCAATACTTACTGAGTCCTACCAAACCACAAAAAGACAGCAATTGTCAGAGTTCAGGGGAAAAGAATGATATTGTATTTATTTAGGAATGACTCAGATGGAAGTGCTGAAATTGCATTTAAGCACTTCATTTCCAATCTATGTTGTAAACATTACGAAGCCAGATATTCCTACTTTAAAAAAAAAATTGTGGTAAAATACACAGAATAAGGCTGGGCGCAGTGGCTCATGCCTATAATCCTAACACTTTGGGAGGCCGAAACCGGCAGATCACGAGGTCAGGAGTTTGGGACCAACCTGGCCAACATAGTGAAGCCCTGTCTCTACTAAAAATACAAAAATTAGCTGGGTGTGGTGGCATGTGCCTGTAGTCCCAGCTACTTGGGAGACTGAAGCAGGAGAATTGCTTGAACCTGGGAGGTAGAGGTTGCAGTGAGCTGAGACCACACCATTGCACTCCAGCCTGGGTGACAGAGTAAGACTCTGGCTTAAAAAAAAAAAAAAAAATACACAGAGTTGAAAATATACGGTCTTAACTGTTTTTAAGTGTACAGTTTAGTAAGGTTAAATGCATTCACATTATGCAACAAATCGATTGCCAAAACTCTTCATCCTACAAAACTGAAATTTGCCAGGTGTGGTGGCTCACACCTGTAATTCCAGCGCTTTGGGAGGCCAAGGCCAGTGGATAACCTAAGGTCAGGAGTTCAAGGTCAGCCTGGGCAACATGGTGAAACCTCGCCTCTACTAAAAATTAAGAAACACCCGGGCATGGCGTCATGCGCCTATAATTTCACCTAGTCCTGAGGTTGCAGTAAGCTGAGATTAGGCCACTTGACTCCAGCCTGGGCAACACAGCAAGACTCCGTCTCAAAAAAAAACCAAACCCTAAACTGTGTATATGTATTAAACAACAACTCTTCACTCTTCACATCCCCCTCCCTGCCGCTCCCTAGTAACTACCATTCTACTTTCTGTTTATGAATTTGACTACTCTAGGTATCTCATCTTAGTGAAATCATACAATATTTGTCTTTTTGTCACTGGCTTATTTCACTTAGCATAATTTCCTCAAGGTTCATCCATGTTGCAGCATGTGTCAGTATTTTCTTACTTTTTAAGGCTGAATAATATTTTATCGTTTGTGCATACCGCATTTTTTTTAAACATTCATTTGTGGATGAATACCTGCTGCTTTCAGCTCTTGGCTATTTTGAGTAGTGCTGCTATGAACATGTCTGTGCAAATATCTTTTCCTTTCTTTTCTTCTTTTTTTTTTTTTTTTTTTTTTTTTTTTTTTTGAGACAGAGTCTTCCTCTGTTGCCCAGGCTGGATTGCAGTGGCACCATCTCAGCTCACTGCAACCTCTGCCTCCTGGGTTCAAGCAATTCTTCTGCCTCAGCCTCCCAAGTAGCTGGGATTACAGGTGCCCGCCAGCACGCCCAGCTAATTTTTGTAGTTTTTAGTAGAGACGGGGTTTCAACATGTTGGCCAGGCTGGTTTCAAAACTCCTGACCTCAAGTGATCTGCCTGCCTAGGCCTCTCCAAGTGCTGGGATTACAGGTGTGAGCTACTGAGCCCAGCCAATCTTTTCAAGACCCTACTTTCAGTTATTATGGGTATATACCCAGAAGTGAAATTGCTAAATCACTGTGGTAATTCCATTTTTTATTTTTGTGGAGCACCCATACTGTTTCCCGTGGGAGCTATACCATAATACATTCCCACTAACAGTGCACAGCGTTCCAGTTTCTCCACATCATGGCCAACACTTGATATTTTTGCTATTTTCTAGTTTTCTTTTTTAATAGTATCTATCCTAAGGGGTGTGAAGTGGTATCTCACTGTGGTTTCAATTTGCATTCCTCTAACGATTGGTGATATTGAGCCAGAGGTCCTGCTTTTGGGGTTCTGTGTGTGTGTGTTCCTGCCTAGTTCTGAAATAGACTGTTCTGTAAAGTTGCCCTGTATATGTTAGAATGTTTGAGGAAACATACTAAAGTTCTTGAGGACCAGAAATAACACTCCTCTTTTAAACGGAAGAGTGACTTTTTGTGTTTTTGCTCTGCAGGGTGGGGTATTTGGCAGGATGTCTAGTTCGAGCACTGTGTGAAAAACAACCAGAGCTGCAGATAAGTGAACGAGATATGCTCTGTGTTCAGATTGCTGGGCTTTGTCATGATCTTGGTAAGCTGTACAAAAAGCCAAAGTTGTTATGTAAAATCATAACATATGTTACCTCTCTTTCACCTTAAAAAAGCAGATCAGCCAAGAGAATATGGAAATTGTATTTTAATTCATCAGTTGACATTAGTATAAATGTACTGTTGCTTCTTCCTAGAACGATTCATAAGTAGAAAACATTGCTATTTTATTTTCTTGGCATCTTTCAGTGAATTTCTCATGTTAAACGTCTTTGCTACAAGTTTTTTTTTTTTTTTCTTTTTTGAGACAGTCTTGCCTCGCTCTGTTGCCCAGGCTGGAATGCAGTGGCTCATTCTCAGCTCACTGCAACCTCTGCCTGCTGGGTTCAAAAGATTCTCGTGCCTCAGCCTCCTGAGTAGCTGGGATTACAGGCAGCCGCCATCATGCCCTAATTTTTGTTTTTTTAGTAGAGACAGGGTTTTTAACATGTTGGCCAGGCTGGTCTCGAACTCCTAACTTCAAGTGATCCACCTGCCTCGGCCTCCCAAAGTGCTGGGATTACAGGCTTGAGCCACTGTGCCCGGCTAATCCAAATATTTTCAATCCAAAGATTTCAAATAAGTTTTTGGCATTAACATTCTTTTTAGTTATACAAAATTATCCATTTATCAAGCCCTGCATGGTGGTGCATGCCTCTAGTCCCAGCTATTCAGGTGGCTGAGGCAGGATGACTTGAGGACAGGAGTTTAAGGCTTCCTGTTCTCTTGTTTTAGAAATAGGAAGGAAGGATTTATCCCTTTTTGTGATTGTATTTTTAGATTATTAATTTCTGTTGCTATTCAAGTTAAACTAAAAAGATTAAAGAATTTAGTTTTTGGCTGGGTGCAGTGGCTCATGCCTATAATCCCAGCATTTTGGGAGGCCAAGGCGGGCGGATCCCCTGAAGTCAGGAGTTCAAGACCAGCCTGACCAACATGGTAAAACCCTATCTCTACTTAAAACAGAAAATTAACCAGATATTGTGGTACATGCCTGTAATCCCAGCTACTTGGGAGACTGAGGCAGGAGAATTGCTTGAACCCGGGAAGCAGAGGTTGTGGTAACCCAAGATCGCACCATTGCACTCCAGCCTGGGCAACAAGAGTGAAACTGTCTCAAAAAAAAAAAAAATCAGTTTTTGTCGATTTACAGATGTTCTTCTTATTCTAAGGCTGCTTTTGTTTTTAAGGTCATGGGCCATTTTCTCACATGTTTGATGGACGATTTATTCCACTTGCTCGCCCGGAAGTGAAATGGACAGTACGTATTCATACATTCAATAGTTAATAAAAGAAAGACTATTTAAGCAGGTTATTTAGTTAATTTATCTGCTTGTTTCTACTACTGTGTTAGAGAATACTTTCCCATTACGGTGTCCAGGGTGCTTTAATTCATTCACACACACACACACACACACACACACGTTTTTGTTTGATCCTCACAGTAGTCTGTAAGGAAGTTATCATTATCTCCTTTTTTTTTTTCTTGAGATGGAGTCTTGCTCTCTCACCAAGTTGGAGTGCAGTAGTGTAATCTCGGCTCACTGAAACCTCTGCCTCCCGGTTCAAGTGATTCTCCTGTCTCAGTCTCCCGAGTAGCTGGGACTACAGGTGCGTGCCACCACACCTAGCTAATTTTTGTATTTTTAGTAGAGACGGTGTTTTACCATGTTGGCCAAGATGGTCTCGATCTCTTGACTTCATGATCTGCCCGCCTTAGCCTCCCAACGTGCTGGAATTACAGATGTGAGCCACCGCGCCCGGCCTATCTCCCTTTTTACAAATAAAGGAACTTGAAACTCTTGGAAGTATATTGATGCATCAAAAATCACAAAGCTGTTAAATACTGGAATCAGTAATAGAAGGCCAGTTGCCAGTTTAATGCTCCTTCTACTCCATTGTATATTGTATAATAAAGAAATAAAAGGCCAACTCCAATTTTGACACATTTGATGTGACCATGAACTAACTGTTACCAGCTAAGTCATGTATATTAAATGAACCATTTTATAATTAGGCATTTGCAGGTGGTTGTCCCATATTTTTGAATCAATTTTTGAGAAGTAAAATTAGGTTTGGCCCCCCAGTTTTTAACTACACTGCATTTCTGGAACGGGAGTAGAAAAGGATATTAAGCCGGGCGCGGTGGCTCAAGCCTGTAATCCCAGCACTGTGGGAGGCCGAGGCGGGTGGATCACGAGGTCAAGAGATCGAGACCATCCTGGTCAACATGGTGAAACCCCGTCTCTACTAAAAATACAAAAAATTAGCTGGGCATGGTGGTGCGTGCCTGTAATCCCAGCTACTCAGGAGGCTGAGGCAGGAGAATTGCCTGAACCCAGGAGGCGAGGTTGCGGTGAGCCGAGATCGCGCCATGGCACTCCAGCCGGGGAAAAAAGAGAAAAACCCCGTCTAAAAAAAAAAAAAAAAAATAAAGGATATTAATATATATTGAAAACTACTTACATGTCAAATTTTTTTCTCTTTCTCTCTCATTTTTTGAGGTATAGTTCACATACAATAAGTTGTCCATATCTTAAGTTCAGTGAGTTTTGACAAGTGTATACATCCATATGACTATTACCTAGTCAGTATATAGCACATTTTCATCTTCCCGAAAAATTCCCATGTGCTGTTTTTCAGTCAGTTCCCACTCCCCCTCACTCCATTGTCACCTTCTGATTTTTACAAATATAAACGAATTTTGTTGTTCTTAGACTTGATTAAGCAGTATTGTACAGGAGGCCCTATTTTACTTCTTGCCTTATTTACTCAACATAATGGCTTTAAGGTATGTTCATGTTATGTGCCTCAGTAGTTGATCCCTTTTTTATCACCTAGGTAGTGTGACATTGTGTGAATAAGTCACAATTTGTTTACCCTTTCTCCTTTTGTTGGAATTTGCATTGTTTTTAGGTTTTGGCTGTTATGAATAAGGTTGTTATGCACATTATTGTACAAGATTTTGTAGAAATACACTTTCTATGTTTTTGTAGTGTGGAAAGTTAATTTTTTTAATCAAATACATTCAGCAGAAATACATTATCTATTTTATAAAAATAAAAATAGATAAAGAAATACATTTTCATTTTGCTTAGGTAAATACCTAGGAGTTAGAATTGCTGGGTCATATGGTAGATATGTGTTTAATTCTATAAGAAACTACCAGAGTTTTCCAATGTGGTAGTACCATTTTACACTCCCATCAGCAACATATTGGAGTTCCAGTTGTTTTACAGCCTCAACAACATTTGGTCTTTCAGATTAGCCCTTCTAATGAGTGTCAAATGATATTTTGTGGTTTGATTTTCTAATGTATATTGAATTCCATTTCCTGTACTTTTTATTTTGTTACTATTATTATCATTATTTTCTTTTTTTTTTGAGACGGAGTTTTACTCTTGTTACCCAGGCTGGAGTGCAATGGCTCGATCTCAGCTCACCGCAACCTCCACCTCCTGGGTTCAGGCAATTCTCCTGCCTCAACCTCCTCAGTAGCTGGGATTACAGGCACGCGCCACCATGCCCAGCTAATGTTTTTGTATTTTTAGTAAAGACAGGGTTTCACCATGTTGACCAGGATGGTCTCGATCTCTTGACCTCGTGATCCACCCGCCTCGGCCTCCCACAGTGCTGGGATTACAGGCTTGAGCCACCGCGCCCGGCCTATTATCATTATTTTCTTTGAGATGGAGTTTCGCTCTCGTTGCCCAGGCTAGAGTGCAATGGCGCGATCCCAGCTCACTGCAACCTCCACCTCCCGGGTTCAAGCGATTTTCCTGCCTCAGCTTCCCGAGTAGCTGGGATTACAGGCATGTGCCACCACGCCCGGCTAATTTTTGTATTTTTAGTAGAGACAGGGTTTCTCCATGTTGGTCAGGCCGGTCTTGAACTCCTGACCTCAGTTGATCTGCCTGCCTCGGCCTCCCAAACTGCTGGGATTATAAGTGTGAGCCACCACGTTCGGCCTCTACTTTGTTATTGATATGTCTTCTTCTGCGAAGAACTCTCAACATTTTACTCATTTAAAAAGTTTGATTGCTTGTTCTTTGATTATTGATTTGTAGGAATTTTTTTTTTTTTTTTTTTTTTTTTTTTTTGACTCAGAGTCTTGCACTGTAACCCAGGCTGGAGTGCAGTGGTGTGATCTCGGCTTACTGCAACCTCCGCCTCCTGGGTTCAAGTGATCCTTCTGCCTCAGCCTCCCAAGTAGATCGGATTACAGGCATCTGCCACCAAGCCCAGATAATTTTTTCTATTTTTGGTAGAGATGGGGTTTCACTATGTTGGCCAGGCTGGTCTTGAACCCCTGACCTCGTTCATGATCCACCCTCCTCAGCCCCCCGAAGTGCTGGAATTACAGGTGTGAGCCATCATGCCAGGCCAGGAATTCCTTATATATATATTGTTAGGTAAATGTATCGTGAATATTTTTCCCCAGTTTCTGGCTTGCCAATTCATTTTCAATGGTGCCTTTTGAAAAACAGACATTTTAAATTTTGATGAAGTACTCTGGTTCATCAAGCCAGTAAAATGGATGCTTTCTCACCAGTTTTTCTATCCTGGGCCTGCCCTCAGGCTAAAAACCATAAAACTGGAATGTCGCTCAATACCTCTCCCTTCTAAGCATTGATGTCTATCATCTGCTTGGTTTTGGTTGTTCTCCAGGACCTTCAGGGAGTTGTCCAGAGCTTATACCTATTTTCTCCTGCAGTTGATCTAATAGGATCTACTTAATCATTACCAAGTCTTTTCCTTTAAGTATTTTGCCTTTTACATTTAAATCTGTAGCTCATGTACAATTTATTTTTGTGTATGTATGTGGGAGAAATCAGATTTTTAAATAGTTCATCCTATCCTGACTGACTATAATACCAACTCCAACATTTATTAACTTCTCATATGTGATGAATCATTATGCATTCTGTTCTGTTTTCACACTTGTTACTTGGGAAAGAAAAAAAGAAATTTTTATCAGAAATATGAGCGCCTTTACATTATCAGGCCCAGAGAGGCATTGAAATAGAACAGCAATCATGTCACTTTCCCTTGAGCTAAATAATTATTACCTCTTGAAGCCAGCTGCTATGTGGGATGCCAGGTAACCATCAAATGCCGTACACCCCGTAGTTCAACAATGTGTGGCCAATCACTAACTAACGTTATTTCTGTAACCCAGTGAACATTCCTGACAACTTTTGTGATCACCTCCTCTTTGTAATCACCCCCCGGTTCACTTCGGGAGGCTGAGGCAGGTGAATCATGAGGTCAGTAGATTAAGGCCATCTTGGCTAATACAGTGAAACCCCATCTCAACTGAAAATACAAAAAACAGCCGGGCATGGTGCCACAGCCCTGTAGTCCCAGCTACTTGGGAGGCTGAGGCAGGAGAATTGCCTGAAACCGGAAAACGGAAGTTGCAGTGGGCGGGCAACTCACCACTGTACTCCCGCGTGGCGACAGAGCAAGACTCCGTCTTAATAAATAAATAAATAAATAAATAAACTTAAATTGTTGAAATACTTTATTTCTAAATACTTCAGTGGGTATTTCCTAAAAAAATTTTCTTATATAACCATAGTATAATTATAAAAATCAGTGAATGTTGATGCAGTGCTCTTATCTGATTCAGGCTTTCAAATTTTACCAATTGTCCATATAGAAAAAGGGGGAAAATACTTTTTTCCCTGGTCCAGAATTATACATTGCATTTACTTGCCATTTTTCTAGTTTCTTTTGATCGGGAACAATTCTTCAGTCTTTATCTTTGGTGACTTTGTCATTTTATGAAAGAGCAAGTGAGCTATTTTATGGAATGTTCCTCAATTTGAGTTTCAGTGTAATGTTTCCTCATGGATTCAAGCTGTGCATTTTTGGTAGAATGCCACAAAAGTGATGTGTCCAGGCCGGGTGTGGTGGCTCACACTGTAACCCCAGCACTTTGGGAGGAAGAGGTGGGTGGATCACCTGAGGTCAGGAGTTTGAGACCAGCCCAGCCAACATGGCAAAACCCTGTCTGTACTAAAAATATAAAAATTAGGTGGGGCCGGGTGTGGTGGCTCACCCCTGTAATCCCAGCACTTTGGGAGGCCAAGGCAGGGGGATCACGAGGTCAAGAGACGGAGACCATCCTGGCCAACATAGTGAAAGCCCACCTCTACTAAAAATACAAAAATCAGCCGGGTGTGGTGGCACGCACCTGTGGTCCCAACTACTTGGGAGGCTGAGGCGGAAGAATCGCTTGAACCCAGGAGGCAGAGGTTGCAGTGAGCCAAGATGGCACCACTGCCCTCCAGCCTGGCAACAGAGCAAGACTCCATCTCAAAAAAAAAAAAAAAAAATTAGGTGGATGTGGTGGTGGACACCTATATTCCTATCTACTCGGGAGGCCGAGGCAGAAGAATCGCCAGAACCTCAGAGGTGGAGGTTGCAATGAGCTGAGATCACACCATTTCACTCCAGCCTGGGGGACAAGAGTGAAACTTCATCTCAAAAAAAAAATTATTTGGGCGTGGTGGCATGCACCTACTTGGGAGGCTGACGAAGGAGAATTGCTTGAACCTGGGAGGCAGAGGTTGCAGTGGGCCGAGATCGTGCCACTGCACTCCAGCCTGGGTGACAGGGCTAGACTCTGTCTCCAAAAAAAAAAAGCGATACATCCTTGATAGTGTATCATCTCAGGAGGCACATAAAATCTAGTTGAGCCAATACCAATGATATTAATTCTGCTTACCTGGTTAAGGCATTGTCTGTCAAATTTCTCCACTATAAAGTTACTGTTTTTCCCCTTTGTGTGTGTGTATATATATATATATATATCTTGATTCAATTTTTTTTTTTTTTTTTTAGAGACAAGATCTTGCTCTGTTGCCAAGGCTGGAGTGCAGGCATGAAGACAGCTAACTGCAGTGTCAACCACCTGGGCTCAAGCAATCCTCCCGCCTTAGTCTCCCAAGTAGCTGGGACCACCGACGCATGCCACTATACCCAGCCAATTTTTAAATTTTTTTCTAGAGACAGGGTCTTGCTTTGTTGCCCAGGCTGGTCTCAAACTCCTGGGTTTAAGCAGTCATCCCACCTCTGCCTCCTGAAATGCTAGGATTACAAATATGAGCCACTGCACCCAGCCTGATTCTGTTTTGGTTTTTGTGTTTTTATTTTTATTTTTATTTTCTTTGAAACAGAGTCTCACTCTATTGCCTGCCCAGGCTGGAGTGTGGGGCAAATTTGGCTCACTGCAGCCTCTGCCTCCTGGGTTCAAGTGATTCTCCTGCCTCAGCCTCCCAAGTAGCTGGGATTATAGGTGTGTGCCACCATGCCTGGCTAATTTTTGTATTTTTTAGTAGAGATGGGTTTTTGCCATGTTGGCCAAACTTGAACTCCTGACCTAAAGAGATCCTCCCACCTCGGCCTCCCAAAGTGCTGGGATTACAGGTGTGAGCCACCATACCTGACCCTGATTCCGCTTTTAAGAGTAATTTCTGGAGCAAGAATTGTTTCCTGGGGGCGGGGGTGGGGGTGGGGGTGGAAATAGTTATAGGGTGAGGCACTTATAATCCTACCACTTTGGGAGACTGAGGCAGGAGGACTACTTGAGCCTAGGCGTTCAGGACCAACTTGGGCAACAAAGCAAGACCCTGCCTCTACAAAAAATTTAAAAATTAGCTGGGTGGGGTGGTGTGCACCTCTGGTCCCAGCTACTCGGGGGGATGAAGTGGGAGGATTGCTTGAGCCCAGGAGTTCAAGGCTGGAGTGAGCCCATGATCACCTCACTGCACTCTAGCCAGGGCAACAGAGATTCCCTATCTCTTAAAAAAAAAAAAAAAAAATAAAAAAATATATATATATATGAATATAGGACAATTCAGGTTTTGTTTTTTATCTTAGTTTTTGTAGGTCCTAGGAAAGGGCAGATGTCTTCAGGGGTTCTTTTGCTCCTTTACATTGATTGTGAATGAGTGAGCAGAGAGAGAGAAGCAAGCTAAGGCCAATTTGAGATCTTTGTTTTTACTGGCAAGTTTGCAGCTACTCCTTTTCACCACTAGATGGCAGTGCTAACAGTTTATAACTGCACATGTTCAAAGGCTGATGAAAAAATAAAATTCAATTTTATGATGATATTTATTAAAATGTAATTCTATCTACATGATCTTGTAATATTCATTTAGGTACTATATTATATCACAAATGCATTAAATATGTTTATGAAATAATACAATTTGTAAAAGGTTTGCAGACTAGTAAAATCGTGAAAAATCTGACAGGTTTTTAAAAATGTTCCTAAAACTATGGTTAGAAACTAGAGAATTAATATGCAATAGACCGTTATCTCAGAATTACTTGGAATTGAGGATGGGCCCTCAGTGGACCAGAACCTATAATACATCATATTGTGTTTACTTTTCCTAGCATGAACAAGGCTCAGTTAAGATGTTTGAGCACCTAATTAATTCTAATGGACTCAAGGCTGTCATGGAAAGCTATGGTCTCATCCCTGAAGAAGATATTTGCTTTATCAAGGAACAAATTGCAGGACCACTTGAATCACCTATCAAAAAAGATTCTTTGGTAAGTTTATGTACAACTTAATTTTAACTGACTGGTGCTTTTCATCTAGCCTTTTCATGATTCCTTCCGAGTTACACATTTGGCTATTTTAGAGGCTAAATGACAAAATATGAGTTCTATATTTCTACTGTTTAATGCGACAATAAAAGGCTTATATATTTTTTTACCTCTCAACTGAATTATTTAGAAGTTACTTCCCGGGCCGTGCGCGGTGGCTCACGCCTGTAATCCCAACACTTTGGGAGGCCGAGGCGGGTGGATCACAATGTCAAGAGATCGAGGCCATCCTGGTCAACATGGTGAAACCCCGTCTCTACTAAAAATACAAAACATCAGCTGGGCATGGTGGCACGTGCCTGTAATCCCAGCTACTCAGGAGGCTGAGGCAGGAGAATTGCCTGAACCCAGGAGGCGGAGGCTGCGGTGAGCCGAGATCGTGCCATTGCACTCCAGCCTGGGTAACGAGAGCGAAACTCCGTCTCAAAAAAAGAAAAAAAAAAAAAAAAAAAAAGAAGTTACTTCCCAAAAAATAAATATATAAAAATTTTTTTTTTTTTCTTTTTTTTTTTTTTTTTGAGACAGGGTCTCACTCTGTCACCAGGGCTAGAATACAGCGGGACAGTCTCAGCTCACTGCAACTTCTACCTCCCAGGCCCAAGTGATCCTCCCACCTCAGACTCCTGAGTAGCTGGGACCACAAACATGCACTACCATGCCCAGCTAATTTTTGTATTTTTTGTAGAGATGGGGTTTTGTCATGTTGACCAGGCTAATCTTGAACTCCTGAACTCAAGTGATCCACCTACCTCTGCCTCTGAAAATGCTGGAATTACAGGTGTGGGCCACTGTGCTCAGCATAAATTCTTTTTTTTTTTTTTTTTGAGACAGAGTTACACTCTGTCGGCTAAACTGGAGTGCAGTGGCATGATCTCGGCTCACTGCAACCTCCATCTCCCGGGGTTAAGTAATTCTCCTGCCTCAGCCTCCCGAGTAGCTGGCATTACAGGCATGTGCCATCATGCCCGGCTAATTCTTGTATTTTTAGTAGAGACGGGGTTTCACCATGTTGGCCAGGCTGGTCTCAAACTCCTGACCTCAGGTAGTTCACCCACCTCAGCCTCCCAAAGTGCTAGGATTACAGGTGTGAGCCACCACAGCCAGCCATAAGTTCTTTTTTAGTGAATATATATGCAGTATTTTATTCATTTAAAAAACACTTTTCTTAGAGATGTGGTCACACTATGTTGCCTAAGCTGGTCTCGAACTCCTGGGCTCAAGTGATTCTCCCACTTTGGCCTCCCAAAGTGCTAGGACTACAGGCGTGAGCCACCATACCTGGCCTGCATTATTTTATATAGAATCCTAAAGTAACTTTGTTTGGAATGTAAATGTGTGTTTCATTTAACCATTAAAATAAACATATTTGTCCAGGCTCAGTGGCTCATGCCTGTAATCCCAGCACTTTGGGAGGCCAAGGCGAGAGGATCACTTGAGCCCAGGAGTTTGAGATCAGCCTGGGTAACATACTGAAACCCTGTCTCATGCCTGTAGTCTTCAGCTTGGGAGGCTGAGGCAGGCTGCAGTGAGCTGTGATTGTGCAGCTACACTCCAGCCTGGGCAACAGAGCTAGACCCTGCCTCTGAATTTTTTTAAATCTTATTTGAAATGTTTAGATATATGAAGATCTACAAAAAAGTTGAACTGGTTCAATGGAGAATCTATTTTGTTTCCTTTTTGATCTTTTTTTTTTTTTTTAATTAAAAATAAAGTTGGAAAATAATTTTCCCTTGAGACTTTTAGGGCTTTTTCCTCAAATATATACAAGTATACTTATAAAGAGATGGGTTTTGTAGCAAATGTCCTATTTCCAAAAAAGTGAAACTCAAAGAATACTTTGAAGAATGTATATTATTTAGATTAGGTGTGTTGCTACTTTGAAAGATAGTTCTGTTTTAATGCATGAAATCAGGCGTTATTAGTTTATTAGATTGTATATATTTTAAAAGTTTAATTTTTTTAAGATGAAGTCTTGCTCTGTCACCCAGGCTAGAGTGCAGTGGCACAATCTTGGCTCACTGCAACCTTCACCTCCTGGGTTCAGGTGATTTTCCTGCCTCAGCCTCCCAAGTAGCTGGGACTACAGGCACCCACCACTATACCTGGCTAATTTTGGTATTTTTAGTAGAAACGGGGTTTTACCATCTTGGCCAGGCTGGTCTGGAACCCCTGACTTCATGATCCACCTGGCTTGGCCTCCCAAAGTGCCACGATTATAGGCATGAGCCACAGCACCTGGCCTAGGTTTTATATTTTTAAAAAACTTATAAACCAAGAAAATACAAAAGTTGTTGGTTGGCCGGGCGCAGTGGCTCAAGCCTGTAATCCCAGCACTTTGGGAGGCCGAGGCGGGTGGATCACGAGGTCAAGAGATCGAGACCATCCTGGTCAACATGGTGAAACCCCGTCTCTACTAAAACTACAAAAAATTAGCTGGGCATGGTGGCGCGTGCCTGTAGTCCCAGCTACTCAGGAGGCTGAGGCAGGAGAATTGCCTGAACCCAGGAGGCGGAGGTTGCGGTGAGCCGAGATCACGCCATTGCACTCCAGCCTGGGTAACAAGAGCGAAACTCCGTCTCAAAAGCAAACGAAAAAAATAGTTGTTGGTTTTGGGAAATGTAATAGAGTTAAGATCTTTTCAGTGGCACAAGAAAATGTGGTAACAATAGGGTATCATATACCTTAGCATTTCTTTTCCCTCTTTACTAGTTTAGAAGTTGAAGAAGGAAAGATTAGAACCTTCTAGTTTATCTCATATCTGTTTATAATTTACAGATTAATAGAATTGCTTTGCTTTGCTTATAAATAGATTTGGTGCCTATCCTAAAACTTCCAGTGGGTTTTCTTGCCTTCCAGTGGCCATATAAAGGGCGTCCTAAAGAGAAAAGCTTCCTTTATGAGATAGTGGCTAATAAAAGAAATGGCATTGATGTGGACAAGTGGGATTATTTTGCCAGGTATGCACTAAACACTTCTGAAAAATTGGCTAAAATCTTTATGTAAATTTAGTATTACTATTTAAGGTATGGCTTCCATGTTGAAAGATTTCATATCTCTGCTTTGGAATCCTTCTAGGGATTGCCATCATCTTGGAATCCAAAATAATTTTGATTACAAGCGTTTTATTAAGTTTGCCCGTGTCTGTGAAGTAGAAAGCAAGTTGCATATTTGTACTAGAGATAAGGTAAGCTATGTCAGAGGAAACAGCAAGAAGAGTGTTGTTTCTGGTCTGAAATTTGCAAAGAACCATTTAACAATATGAAATAATTGGTAAATCATCAATCTCTTTACTTAATTCCTAGGATTTGTGAATATCTTTAATCTCTTCACTTCTACTGCATTGTTAAAAAGTAATAAAATTAAAATGGACATTTATTAAGTTTTGATTTAGACACTGGTTTGGGGTTTTTTTTTTTTTAACTGAAACTACAGGTGTACACTATCATCTGTTGTTTACTTTTTTTGTTGTTGTTGTTTTTTGAGATAGGATCTCACTGTGTTGCCCAGGCTAGTCTTGAACTCCTGAGCTCAAGTGATCCTCCTTCCTCAGCCTCCCAAGTAGCTGGGACTACAGGTACACACTATCATGCCTGGCTTGTGTAAGGCATTATTTTAAGTGCTTCAGTTGGATCAACTCAATCCTTAAAATCCTGTGAGATAGGTACTATTATTCCATTCAACAGGTGAGCAAATTAAAGGACAGAGAAGGCATATAATTAACTACTGATAAGAGTTGGAATTTCAACCCGGAAAGTTTGGTTTCAGAATCTCCTTTTTAATCACTATATTAGTGTTGAAAAATTTTATATAGTTGACACCTGAGCAAAATGGTGTTTGGGGGTGTTGTCCCCTCTCCTAGTGGAAAATCTGTATATAACTTTTCTTTTTTGAGACGGAGTCTCCCTCTGTCACCCAGGCTGTGGTGCAGTGGCGGGATCTCTGCTCACTGCTACCTCCGCCTCTCAGTTCAAGTGATTCTCCTGCCTCAGCCTCAGGAATAACTGGGTTTACAGATGCTCAGCTAATTGTGTGTGTGTGTATGTGCGTGTGTGTGTGTGTGTGTGTGTTGACCATGTCTTGCTCTGTTGTCAGGCTGGAGTGCAGTGGTGTGATCTTGGCTCACTGCAACCTCTGCCTCCCAGGTTCAAGCGATCCTCCTGCCTCAGCCTCCTGAGTAGTTGAGACTACAGGAGTATGCCACCACGCCCAGCTAATTTTTATATTTTTAGTAGAGATGGGATTTCACCATGTTGGCCAGGATGGTCTTGATCTCTTAACCTCATGATCCGCCCACCTCAGCCTCCCAAAGTGCTAGGATTACAGACATGAACCACTGCGCCCGGGCCATAATATTTGTATTTTCAGTAGAAATGGGGTTTCACCATGTGGCCAGGCTGGTCTCAAACTCCTGAGCTCAAGTAATCCACCCTCTTTGGCCTCCTACACTGCTGGGATTACAGGCATGAGCCACTCCACCCGGCCTGCGTATAACTTTCCCAAAAACTTAACTACTAATACCCTCCTGTTGACCAGAAGCCTTATTGATAATGGTAAATTACACACATTTTGTATGGTTTTTTAATTTTGTCTTTTGTTTTCTTTCCAGACAGGATCTTGCTCTATTACTCAGGCTGGAGTACAGTGGCACTGTCAGAGTGCACTGTAGCCTTGACTTCCTGGGCTCAACTGATCTTCCTTCCCTCCTCTTCCTCCTGAGTAGCTCAGACTACAGGCATATGCTCAGTTAATTTTTCAATTATTTTATAGAGGTGGGGTTTCACTATGTTTCCCAGACTGGACTCAAACTCCTGGGCTCAACCAACCCACCCCACCTACCTCAGCCTCCTAAAGTGCTATGATTATAGGTGTGAGCCACTGCATCCAGCCCATTTTGAATGGTACATGTATCATATACCATTTTTTTTTTTTTTTTTTTGATACAGGATCTCACTCTGTCACACACATTGGAGTATAGTGGCATGATCTCAGCTCACTGCATCCTCTACCTTCTGGGCTCAAGCAAATCTCCCACTTCAGCTTCCTGAGTAGCTGGGACCACAGGTGCATGCCACTACACTGGGCTAATTTTTCTATTTTTATTTTTTTATTTTTTTTGTAGAGACAGAGTTTTGCTATGTTGCCCAGCCTGGTCTCAAACTCCTGACCTCAAACAATTCACCTTCCTTGGCCTCCCAAAGTGCTCATGTGTGTGAACCACTATGCCCAGTCTACTGTATTCTTACAATAAAGTAAGCTAGAGAAACGTTATTAAGAAAATCATAAGGCAAGTGCAGGCACAGTGGCTCACGCCTGTAATCCCAGCACTTTGGGAGGCCAAGGCTGGCAGATCACTTGAGGTCAGGAGTTTGAGATCAGGCTGGTGAACATGGTGAAACTCCGTGTCCACCAAAAATACAAAAATTAGTTGGGTATAGTGGCACGTGCCTATAATCCTAGCTACTTGGGAGGTTGAGGTAGGAGAATCAATTGAACCCCGGAGGCAGAGGTTGCAGTGAGCCAAGATTGCTCCACTGCACTCTAGCCTGGGCAACAGAGCAAGGCTCTGTCTCAAAAAAAAAAAAAGAAAAAATCATAAGGCAGAGAAAGTATGTTTACTATTCATTAAGTGGAAGTGGTCATCCTAAAGGTCTTCATCCTTATCATCTTCACATTAAGTGGGCTCAGGAAGAGGAGGCCTTGGTCTTACTGTCTCGGGGTGGTGGCAGGACAAGAAAATCTGTATAATTGAACTCTCACATTTCAAGCATGTGTTGCTAAAGGTCAGCTGTGGTTAAACAAGTGAAGTCCCTAGGTCCCTGTTAGATGGCAGCCATGTAATCAAAAAGTAGTATAGTACTACACTATAGAAAGTCAAGAATGGCTAGGTGTGGTGGCTCATGCCTGTAATCCCAGTACTTTGTGAGGCCAAGGCAGGCAAATCAATTGAGTTTATAAGTTTGAGTCCATCCCAGCCAACATGGTGAAACCCTGTCTCTACTGAAAATACAAAAATTAGCCGGGCATGGTGGCACACACCTGTAATCCTAGCTACTTGGGAGGCTGAGGTATGAGAGTTGCTTGAACTAGGGAGGTGGAGGTTGCAGTTAGCCAAGATTATGTGCCACTGAACTCCAACCTGGGTGACAGAGTGAGACTGTCTCAAAAAAAAAAAAGTCAAGAATGAAGAACATAAGAATAACAATACCTATTTCCTAGAGTTATTGGGAGATTCAAATATATAATTTAAGAGGCCTAAAACAGAACCTGTCACAGAGTTTGAGCACATAGTAGATTTTAGGAGTTTGTTTTGTTTTTGTTTTTTTTTCCGAGACAGAGTCTCGCTGTATCGCCCAGGCTGGAGTGCAATGGTGCGATCTTGGTTCACTACAACCTCTGCCTCGTGGGTTCAAGCAATTCTCCTGCCTCCTGAGTAGCTGGGATTACAGGCAACTGCCATCATGCCCAGCTAATTTTTGTATTTTTGTAGAGACGGGGTTTCACCATTTTGTCCAGGCTGGTCTTGAACTCCTGACCTCAGGTGATCTGCCCACCTCGACCTCCCAGAGTGCTGGGATTTACATGTGTGAGCCACCGTGCCCAGCCTAGTTTATTAAGAATTAAAGTTCTTGCAATGAAAGACTTGCATTCCAGCCTGGGCAACAGAGCAAGACTCTATTTCAAAAAAAAAAAAAAAAAAAGAGAATGAAAGTTAGCCGAGCACAATGGCTGATGCATATTGTCCCAGCAAGTTTGAGGTGGGATGATCACTTCATACCAGCCTAAAAGAACTTGTCTTTTA